AATATTACTAAAAATGGCAAAAAATTACTTAAATTGATGATTTGGAAGGGAAAACAGCTGAATTTGACCTCGATATCGATGCCAAAAGAGCTTTCCGAATTGGGGTCACGGACGTGATTCTGACAACCGTAACCAAAGTTATGGCCAAAATACTGAAACGTGTCTGAAATTGCCCCAATTAGGAAATGTCGATAATTATTTGCCAATTTTGCGTTAATTCGCCAACTCATGGTATCTCAGCGCCTTTAATGTACTATCAGACAGCTCGACTTCCTCTAATTCGGATCCTCCTGCATCAAGAGTGCAAGTTGAAGTTTAGGGTGTCAAAAATGGGGGTAAATAGATGCGTTCAAGGTTCATTATATCCAGTCATATCTAGATCATTGTCAAGCCAAATATTCGTTGATATGTGAATGTGTAAAGCATAAATACACGTAAACCAGGACGATATATACACCTGTTCACATTATGTATGATATGACATTTATATATGGATTAACGTTGAGATATGGAAAGGGTTAGTTCAATGGCTAATTGCACTTTTTTTTCTTTTGAGGGCAATTTTTCTTTGTTTGATGGCACGACATAAATAGTTGAAAATTGTTTTTAAAATTTTTTTGGGCTTGTTCACTGGCTAATTGCACTTTTCTTCTTTTGATTTCCGATATAATTGATGTGATTAGTGTCGACTTATTGGCTTTTCCTTGTATATCTTGATCATCGTGCTAAGTGCCACCATGATTCATCTTATTTACAAACTACGACATATGAATGCATTCGTACAAAATGATTCAGCGATGTAGAGTCATGAACTTAGACTACGTTTAGTAAATTGTATATTTAAAAGTCATAGTTACGTGATGCGATAGGTTTCGATCGAAACGTTCTATACAGGGAAAAGATGCCCCAAAGCTAAAAAATTGACGCCAGTGAGCTCTTGAATAAGTTTGAGGATGGATTTTAAAGGTGTAATCACGAGGTACCATGAGCACCAAAAAAAAAAAAAAGTTTGATATCGTCTTACAGGGTTTATACTTTATAATCACACTTTAAACTTACTCAATCATGCTATATCAAATTAAATAAAATATGATTTTTTCAAAAAAAAAAAAAAAATAGTTACTCTGGATGTGACTTTTAGGCTGACCACTTTACTTCTTTACATGCAGCACAAAATAAAAATTTTATATAAAAGGTTATATTGATTGTGACTTTCTAATGCACCACTTAATTCACGGGCAACAGGAAAAAACATAAAAGATATTTCTAAATATCATTTCAAGCGGTTCCAATAATGACAATTTAAGTTCAGCCAAATATTGTATTTCAAATAGTCAAGATTAATTTTATGTGAGTTCATTGTTTTGTGATTTCTTAAAGAAAACGTTACACAATATGTGACTTTTTATTTAAAAAGTAACCAACTTTTCTATCTTGCAGATTGCTTTATACCTAATTTTTCGAAGGCTTCTAATTTTTATTTGTATTTTTCTAATTACCCTATTAGTAACCTATGGCATCTGAATTTGGGCTTTTCCACGATTCCATCGTAAAATAATTAAAATGATGTGTATAATTTAGGCATTCTGAAAATCTAAGAAACTTGAAGCTCTTCGGAATTGGAACAAGCGAGGGACGAGCAACCACAAGCTCTGCTTAAGCGCTCGACATGTAGTTACCTTAAAACATTCTCATTTTTTAAGCGTATCTTACTTTTATTTAATTTGTCTGATTGGGATTTGCAAGCCAGAAGACGAAGACGTTTCAACAGTCAAACAAACACATTCTTTAATAACTTAATTTGAGGATTTGTGTGAATAATTTAGCCTACCTAACAACTTTAATTTCTAATATTACTCTGGAGTAGAGTTCATTTCAAGTTAAGAACTCCCACCCCAATCCCGTAAAGAAGTAAATGATTAAGAATCCATCGAAATTGAATTGAATGTTGAAACTAATTAAACGTATTTGTTTGTGTACAATTAAATCACTCATTAATCAAATTTTCCATTTTACATTTTAAAATGGCAAACTAATTTAAGAGACTTCCACTTCTTTTTAAATAAGTTTCAGGTGTTTTAATTGAACTTGCTATTCATATTCAACATAGCCCGGTTTGGTGTAGCTAAAAATCAATTTTTTTTAGTAAATTTCAAATGATAAATTAAATTTAAAATATATCACCACACCCATAAGTTAGTAATATATGTCTAAATCAAAAAATAAACACCAAATATTCAGCAAATTCAACTTCAAATTATCAATCACCAAATAAAATATTGTGTATTTTTCCAAAAAAAAAATATATTGTGTAATAAAATTCAAACACAAAAGTCCAAACTAATAAACAAAATACGGTCATAATTTCAATTCACAAACATCAAGTTTTATCCCCATACAAAATATTTTACAATAACAATGATTCACTAATGTAGACGAATGAGTAATCAACAAAAGTTGGATTTTTTTTTTTTTTTTTGTGTGTGATTCACTGATACACACACGCGTTTGGTTTTCGATTCTAGTTCTGATTCTGATTTTGGTTCCAAAATCAAAATTGGAAGAGGAATTAGAATCAAATGGTTCTTATTTTTAAGAACCAAAATAACAATAACAATCATCATCATCATCTTTATCATCAAATCTAATTGTTCGATTTGATATGGCTCTGATTTGGCTTAATCATTTTGTTCATCCTAAGTTAAGATGTGGATCCCATTAAAGATATAATTAAAATTAATTAATTTGAGTTTAGTTTATTAACTAGTAAGAATTATTTTTGGTTGACAACTAGTGAAGGGTGGGGATCCACACCATTGATTTTAGCAAAAAAAAAAAATGAAGTTTTTGAAATGTATGTTGTGAATCTGTGTCAACATATTGATTGTAAATCAAGTTATAAATTAGTTGGTACACTTGTCAAGCGAATCATGCTACAACAACATAATAATTGATATAATCTTTAACATAATGTCACATGACATTTCATTACTGAACTGTTTTAAACATAATTAGCATCACCATCAATTCATCAAATCATATGTTGCCAAATGGAGATAGAAGTAGAAATTTCATTAATCCATAATAAATACCTTAAATGTTCCCTTTTTTAGTCAATATTATAATCATTAATTATTACTTAATCAAACACTATCATTGACTATTAGACCATTAAAACAGATTTCCATAGATCCAATCACATCATTATCCATGAATAATCAACTGTCAAGATCCTCTTGTAATTTCATTTGCTGCATCACTTTCGGCGGTTGCGAACTCCTTTTTCTTCCAGTCTCATCGTTCACATACAAAACACACACATATGTATATGAACATGCAGAGATAATTATACCGAGATAGAATTTCACCATTGTGTGTGTGGATCTAGATCTCGAGTTTTTGATTCGGTGATAGGCGAATTTGTAGAGACAAAGATGGAGATCGTTAGGGGAACGACTCACGCGATTCGGCATTGTGCGTTCGTCACGCTTCTCCTCTTAATCACCGTCACTCATTCATTTTACCTTCCCGGTGTCGCTCCTCAGGACTTCGCCAAGGTACCTTAATCCCGTACATGCACTTATTTGTACCTGTAGACTCCTGTGAGATTGAATATTTTCTATATCGATGGTTCTTGTCTTGATGTTATTTTTTATCGGATATGCAAATGGACACATCTTTGAAAGTACTTATCAAGAAATGATGGGTTTTGTGAAATTTGTTTAGTTTCCAGTTTTGTGATCTTAATTGTGATCTTGTTGTTCAGGGTGTAGTTTCCCTTAGATCGCTGAGAATTGTAAATATGAGTTAGTAATTGCTATAACTAGTTAATGTGGAATTTTCTAAATAATCTGCTGGTGTCCACTAATAACAAAAATCTAGATTGAAGAATTTTTATTTTATTTTTGATTCTTACACCAATTAAGATTGGCATTGTAACATAAAAAGGATTGCGTGAAAACATTGATGACACACACATGTTGCCAAATTACTGCAACCATAGTATCTGCTTTTCTTCTCTTAAATTTTTTTTTTAGATTGGAGTGGATGTGATCACTTAAACATAACCTTGAAACCACTACTTCGTTGGATCACATAATTGGTAGTTGCCAAATATAGTTTTAATCAGATAATTGAACGTCGGAAGATTGGGGATCACAGTAGTTTGTGCCCTTT